TCCCCCTTTCTTCCCCATCTAATATGGCCGATTGTTCCCCAGCTTGAAGGTTTCCAGTAAGAGGAGTGGTTGAATGTCTGCTATTTCACATGACAAATCAGGAGCCTCAAATCTAGGCTTTTAGCAACTGGGACTTGTAAACATAAGGTTACCAAGTCAACCACGAAGGGACTTGAACCCTTAATCTTCTGATCCGAAGTCCAGCTGCCGCTGAATCGTCCGGGGAAATGTTGAACAATGTTGGAATATGGGCCAATCGCGGGCCTCCCTTTCCAACATTCTCCCCCAATCATCCTCGACTCCTCAACATTCCCCGCCAATCAATCTCCCCCCCTTCCAAACTGTCGAACTTTTGACCAATCAGCTGCGATCTTAACCGTGCCTAGAAATTGTCCGCAGTTTCATACGTTTCATTCTTTGATTCCTTAAAATTGTGCGTATTCAGACATTAACGGCAGTGTTATATGACGTCCGCTAATGTGTAAACACAGCCTTTCTTTGTCTGTCACGTTGTCATTGTGATATTATTCAGCTAGCTTCTGTGGCTCTTTTATTTGACTCAGAATTCGGCTAATTCAGTAGTTTTGGACGTTAACGTATTTCAACAGTGCCCTCTCGCATAAGCGCATATATTGTGTGTATGAAATCTGTCGAATTAAGATGTTTTCCCCGATTCATTCATTCATTCATTCATTCATTCATTCATTTCACTACGTAATTTACCGTGTATTTTGCTGTAATGCCGTTTTCTCTATTCCATCGATTTATTTAGTTATTGGAAAAGGCTTCAATTTATATGCCAACCAAGACTTAAAACAGAGACTGTAAACAGTACAACAGTTGACCTATTTTTGTATAGTATAACACAATCAGTTGTAGTTGAATATTAAATCCTCTTCTAACATATTGCTCTTAAGATAGGGTAATTGTGTAAATGGTGTTGTAAGTGAATGTTAAACTCTCATTTAAGTTCTTTGTAAGCCTGTAAATGTTATAGATTTTTACATAATTTAAGTTCTTAATTAAAGTTTATATCTATGTTGTGTGTTCAGTTTGCATGAATAATCTCTTTTTATTAAATATTTAAAACTTTTCTCTTGCTCACTTTTTATTTTTTGCCACCACTAAACATGGCTTTTGTACATTTGGCTGCTTATATTAAGCTATTACATTGATAATATTAAGTTAATGTTTATTTACAATCAGACTCACTTCCCCATTTCGTTCACCTTGAAGCATCACCTACTAGAGTCGCCGGTTCGAATCCCGGTCTAGTCTTAAAAATGACCGTAACTTTAATAAAAACTGCTCTTTCTTGAGCTAATAAATCAATGAAAGTGAGTGACAAGGGCGTATGTTTTCTCTTCTCTCCTCTTTTCTCTCTTTTTTCCTTTTTTTCTCCTTCCTCCCTCCTTTTCTCTTCTCCCCCCTTCTCCCCCTTTCTTCCCCATCTAATATGGCCGATTGTTCCCCAGCTTGAGCGCAGACGCCTTATCCATTAGGCCACGTGGTCCCATGTACAGAGGGGTGGGTCTGCTGGGTATAATGCATCTCTAACTTTGCTCCAGAGTACGATTTATGAAAGAGTTATGAAAGCACTCCATCCTCCATTCTGCCCATTTCTTTCTTTTACTTTTTTCTTTACCTCTTGCCATAGATAATTTTATTATATATATTATATTAACTATTTGCATTTTTGTTCTATGACAGTGACACTGCTGCATCACACAGTGATTCCTTTTGATGCTCTCAACAAAGCAACTGCAGAAATTCCTGAGGATCTCAACCAATATGCCAAACATTTTACTTCAGCTGTTGCTGAGCCATTTTCACCTGCTGTGTGGTTTCTGCAGACACCCTTTCATTTCAGTCAGGTTTGCTGGTTGCCACCTTGAAAAATCACTAGATGCTGATGCCTGTGAAGATTCTCAGTCATCCCGGTCATGGTCAAGCTTGAAAAATTCAGTTTGGGCAACTGGATGTGAAGTTGCTGATGCAGATGTCAGGACCTCCAACTGACATTTGGTGAAAGCTGGGTACATCCTGGACAGGTTCTGATGCCTGAATAAAGCCTAAAGTGAACTGTGTGTACTGTGGTGGTGTGTGACATACTAAAGGTTGAATTAGATCTTTGTGATTTACATTAGAACATCAAATCCATGCCATAAAAACAGACACATATACAAAACCAAAATCGGGCCACTGGTGAAATGTCATTGCCAGACCTGGTCCACTTCTCACCATACCAACAGCTGACCAGCAGACCTGGCTTGATGCCAGATCTAACCAGACCTGTGTGCCATGTGGACGGGGTTAGAAAATGAACCACAGGTTACAGGATCCACTGGGTGGAGATGAATGTTGAACCTGTGTTAACATCATTGTAGTAGCTGTTTGTCAAACAAACTTTTAACTAAGATCAAATTAAGCTTAAAATAAAACAAACGACAACTTTTGGCACCCTGGGCAGGTATCGTACGCAGGCAAGAAAAATTATTTAAGTTCCACGCAGAATTGTCCTTGAGGCTGGTTTATTGCTGTTTCAGGTGAGCAAACAAATCTCTTGCGCTGGTAAAAAACCATGTGTCCACTCTCAAGGTGGATACAGGTGTAGTGCCACTTCCTACCTATATCCACCCTTACCTGTGCGCACCACTACCCCCAGGTGTCTAAAACCAAATACTATAACTAATACATTTACGAAATAAAGTAAATATTACCAAAATATGAAACTATCACTAATGTAAACTAATTTATAATAAACAAACAAATCAACAGAATTACCACTACTCAAAGTAAAAGTGCGAGTGCAAGATGGCTCCCACAATCATAGTCTCTCCTGGACATGTGGGTTCAAATTCCACTTCTGACAGTTTGCTTCCCTTGCTTGTGTTGTTGCTGTCTTTTACTTTTAAAATTGGTTCCTTATGTTAAAAACGTGCTTAAATCCTGAATACAGATGCACTATAAATTGTGTCTGATTGTCAGTGATTGGCTTCTAGAATGATTGCCGTTGGTCATTCTCAGTTCTGAGATATCAAAGAACAACAAATGTTCAGACATTCCAGAAGCAGATTTACCTTGTTCTGACACATTCTGTTGTTCTTTTCAGAACACACATCCCTTCCACAAGCTCCCTTTGCTTTAACTGTTCACTGCTTGGAGGAATGCTCAAGCAGGGATCAAGCACTTATGAACAGTTACTGAGCTGTCAACCAACATTCCTGTGCTTAGAATGCACCAAGGAACACATCCACACAACCCTGTCTGATACAATCACAGTATTCAGTACATTTCAGAAAGAAGGGGGCACCCAGAGTTGAACTGGGGACCTCTTGATCTGCAGTCAAATGCTCTACCACTGAGCTACACCCCCACCTCTGGATGCTTAAAGACTAACTTATATAACTGAACATGATTTGATCAATTTATTTTCTCCACTTCTGTAGTCTCTGATCAGCTCCAGTCAGATAAAGTGCCCACCTCTACCCTCTTCCTTCATTGGCAGCCAATGGGGAGGGGCGGGGTCGCCCTGGACGGCAGCATCACAAACACCATTGATTAATTCATTCAATGCTTCAGACACCTATGCCAGAGTCTCGTTATAACCACGCTGTACGGTTTACATTTATTGTCCACTTGATGGCACAATAGAGCAAATGAAGCACCATGAAGCGTCAACACACGAGTGAACCAATTGGATAGAGACGCTTATCGCTGCAGGACATTTTGGACCGTCCAACTCCGCCCAACCAACGTCCAACTCCGCCAAACTCCGCCCATCCAAGACTCGGCCTTTTTTGATGACGTCATGCGACTACGAGTTTTATTAGGCGCAAACAAACTTTACTGGCCATAGCGAATCGGCAAACGAAGCGAAGCTTTAAAACGAACGATATCAGTAAGTGAAAAATACATAATTTTATGTTCATGTTGACGATATTACTGTGTTGACCCTGCTGGATGAAATATTTATGATATTTGATGTGACCATCTAGTTTATTGTGTTCATTAGTTTTTTTGCCCGAAAAAGTAGTTGTTTTGTAGAGTACCTTCAATTTAGTGTTAGCTAGCGCAAGGCCCTGTTTTGTTTTACTTAAAGATGTTTCTTGTGAAATTGAGTTTATGCAATATCCATCCCGTGATGTCAAATGAACATTACAGAACGTTATCATTTTTGTGTCACGAAAGTATGCAAGATTAGTAAAAGCCAGTTAGTGAAAATGATTTCGGCTTGAGAAATATAACGTTATTAGCCTGCTAACGTTAATTACACATATCAGTATACTTAGCAGAGTTGCTAGCGGTTTAACTTGTAACACAATGTCCATTTACAAAACTGTACATGCACAGAAAACGAAAAATGTTTTGGTCAATGTTTGTCATCAGACCAGCTCGATGAATCTTCAAATGTTTAAGGCATGTTTAAGCCTTGTAAAGAACCACTATGATGATTAACGCATAATGCATGATTTGATCATGTTTTTCAGCATTCAACACACTTTAAAGACCGTCCAGCCATTCAGCAGTACCTCAAAGAGGGCATATTCAAATGCCCCTGCTGCAAATTCTCTACAGAGGATAATTACAAATTATCCTATCATATTGATAATCACCTTAAACATGCTGTGCATCATGCAGGTAGGGTTGCAGACATGGATGTGGTTTGTTTTACACCACAACTATGTACAACTACTTCTTTTACTACACTTTACAGTACGCGCTTTATATGGCCTTGGGGTGGAGATTTGACTTCAGTCAGGTATGATTTTGTGGGGACTCCTCTTGTGAAAATTCGTGACCCTGACACTAATGCAAACACACACAAACTTTTATGGTCCTAAATTATTATTTTGTCTGTGAGTTAAATATTCT